ATCGGTAGAGGCTACCGATTGGCAATCGGTAGCAGCTAACGATTGCCAATCGGTAGACTCTACCGAAAAAATCGGTAGACTCTACCGAAAAAATCGGTAGACTCTACCGATAAAATCGGTAGTCTCTACCGAAAAAAAATCGGTTCCCTCAACCGATTTTTATCGGTAGCAGCTACCGATTTTTGTCGGTAGCAGCTACCGATTATTTTCGGTAGAGTCTACCGATTTTTTCGGTGCAGGCTACCGAAAAAATCGATTACCAATTTTTGAAAATTTTTGTATTTTTTTAGCGAGAAGTTAAATACTCGCTTTTTATTAAATAGAAAATAGTATTTTTTTTGAGGTATAAATAAATTTGAAATACAAAAATATTAAAAATGAGGAGTAATTTTTATTAAATTTTTTACAATTCTAAATAAATATTAAATTAAATGTCTGGTGGCTACAAAGTAGAGATTTTTTTTTTCTATTAATAAACAAGGTTATAAATTTGGTAATTTGCTCTTATTCTTTGTCATACTTTGACTGAAAAGAGTAATTTTTATTAACTTGAATAATGTTTAATATTATTTTTAAATGTTAATATTTTTAAGTATTAATATTTTTTTTTTAATTTTCTAACAGCTCATCGATGCGGATTTTCTCGGTTACGGCTACCGAAAAAATCGGTAGACTCTACCGAAAAAATCGGTAGACTCTACCGAAAAATAATCGGTAGCTACTACCGATAAAAATCGGTTGAGGGAACCGATTTTTTTTCGGTAGAGACTACCGATTTTTTCGGTAGAGTCTACCGATTTTTACGGTAGAGTCTACCGATTGGCAATCGGTAGCTGCTACCGATTGCCAATCGGTAGCGTCTACCGATTATTTTTTTCCGTGTACTTACTGAGATATTTCAATGTTTTAAGTTAAATGACTCACCCTGTGGTGTTAATTTTTTTGTTTAGGAAGTTGATTAATAAAGCAACATTTCTTATCAAAATTATTTTCATTTAAGTTCCCAATTTCCAACAAATACTTTTGTTACTGGGTCTAAAAAAATATTTGTATAAATACTTATTTATACAAATATTAAGGTCTTTTAAGATTACAAGAATTATGGTTGAATCATTGACATTGATTTTGTTAATACATCTACAAAATGTTTGTTATAATTACAAAATACCTATTCAATTATTTAACAGAAAACTTAATATAAAGTGGACCTGTATTATTATTACATAAAATCTGGTTAATGTTTGGTTAAAATTAACAAATGTTTTTGTACTGTGAAGATAATTGCTAAAAGATGCACTAAAATGGGGAAAATTGTGTGCACCCTGTATAAAAAAGTTGAGTTCATAAAAATTTAATGTCGAGGAAATTAAATTATGAAGTGGGCTTTCATCATTCGGCAAGTTTTTGACAAAACGCGTTCGTCGAGCCAGCGAAAATTCTCTCTATACTTTAATTTTCAGTTAGGAGTGTAATTCTATTAGGCGCCATGGCGGGGATATATTAATTAAAATCTCATGTTTAATTCAAAGAAATTGTATATTTAATCCGATAATCTGCCCCGGCACCCCACGAATTAAAACCAACAAACATTCGACTTATATTTTGTTTAAATATTTAACGTTAAAGCTACGCTAAATTTACGTTGCGATTTTTACGTTTTTTAAACCAGGAAATTAATTAAAAAGGCAGAGATTATTTTTTAGTTTTTTATTCGTTATTTGTTAGGTTGGTACCTACCTTATTTTGTTTAAAAATGTAAAACGCTTTTCAGTAACTTTAATTTTTATCCTTTTTTTAACTTTATAATAAATATAATGTTTGTTTACAAGTTTCTCCTCATTTAACCTTTTTTAGCAAAAATTACATTTTCTCAGGCAAAATAATCGATCCACACAAATTTTCGATGAATTTCAATCGCAAATAACTTTTTTATTTGATTTCGGATTTAAACAAATATTAAAGAATATTGTAGATACATTAATGGAGAATCGCTCACATTTTAAAAATTACTAAAAAATACACGTACGTTTATAATATACAGGTTTAAACAAAAAGATGTTTTTTACCATAAGTTTAAGACACTCTGTAGAGTGGCAAAACCGTATATTGTTCTAAATTAAGTTTTAATTATCAAGTCACATCTATTTTTAACAGTTTTGTTTTTGGTTGACCTCGATATATTTCTTTTTGTGGAAAATATGAATTTAAAAAAAAAAATTGCAATTTTCAATATTTTTCCTGTATGAAGAACTTAGGTTGCTATGGTCCATCCATAGCCTACGGAGGATGACAGTGACAGTTTTGTTGAATCATCCCATACTTGGACATGTCATATACCTACAGCTTTCAAAAGCTATCAAATTGTTTTTTGTAAATTAATGTGTTAATTTTGAGGTGTCTTCTTACTTTTAAAAATGTCTCCGACTGATGTTGCCCTTTGTGCTTTACTTCTTGTGACGTTTAAAACACTTGCCGCGTAATACTGTGACCGTCCATCCTGGATTAAATTAATGGCTCTGGCAACATCAGTCGGGGACATATCCATTTTTTAAAGTGAGAAGACACCTCAAAATTTAAACATTAATTTGCAAAAAACAATTTGATAGCTTTTGAAAGCCGTGTATGACAAAACTGTCACTGTCATTCTCCATAGCATATGGATGGACCATAGCAACCTTAGTTCTTCATACAGAAAAATATTGAAAATTGCAATGTTTTTTTTTTAATCCATATTTTCCACAAAAATAAATTTATCGAGGTGAACCAAAAACAAAACTGTTAAGAATAGATGTGACTTGATAAATAAAACTTAATTTAGAACAATATACGGTTTTGCCACTCTACAGAGTGTCTTAAACTTATGGTAAAAACATATTTTTGTTTAAACTTGTATATTATAAACGAACGTCTATTTTTAGTAATTTTTTAAAATGTGACCGATTGTCCATTAATTTATCTACAATATTCTTTAATATTAGTTTAAATCCGACATCAAATAAAAAAGTTATTTGCGATTGAAATTCATCGAAAATTTGTGTGGATCGAATATTTTGCCTGTGAGTGTATTTCCTAAAAAATAAACACATTTTCCCTGTTTGAAGAAGGTGGTTGGCACCTCGGTTCCCGACGTAAGCGAGTTATAAGAAACTTATGTGAAAATATGTTAGAAGTGTCCGGTAAGCCGCTTGCAAACCCAATATATAAGCCTAACAGAGTTTTCTTGATCTAGTTTTGCTAAGAAAGTTAAGTCTAAACTTTGCCCAACGGTCACTTTTCATTACACACGAATAAATGTCACAGGTTCAAATCATATTATAATATAGAAATGAAACCAGCGTTAACAGTGGGTGACTATTATTAATTTTTTTGTTATTTTTGTTAATATTTAATGCATTGGAGATTTGCATTCCAAAAAATGTTATTTATGTTATTTGAAAGCAAAAAAAACTCAATAGTAAAAATTGAGGTTAGGTAGATCTGACAGTTTTATTGGTCCAAACGGTAAAAACCACTTTAGTAGTGAGTGTTCACAATAATAAATTGTTAAAACCAAAATGAAATTATCAAATATTAAAGAAAAACAAAAAAGTATAGTAATTGGACATTTTATATAGTAATTGGACACATGGACCATAGTTATTGGACAAACAATTTTTATATAAACGTTACAACTTTACATCAAATAAATTGTTAAATATTTTTTAAAGATAAATTGCTGTTTTAGGTAATTTTTTTATATCGTTTTTGTAAATATCATATAATTCATATATTTCTTTCTCGGATTCCTCATCCCTTTTCTGGATTCCGAAGGTAACTACTAATTCCTTGGTCTGACTTCTGAAATAGTTTGTTGCAAATATCATTAAGTGTGGTATCTCTAGTTTGTGAAGCATTTATAATGTTTAGGCCGGAACAGGATGATTTATATATATCTTATATTTTTTCGGGTGGTATGTTAAAAGTATTTTCCGAATTTATTAATTTTGTTGCCATTAGTTTTTTATGTTTTTAAATCACTGTTATTTTGCAAGATGTCCTGTGACGAAGAAATCACTATATTACTTACTCTGTAAAAATGAATTAGTCAAAAACTTCATAGCGAAAAAGCAGACACTAATAATTCTCGTCCAAAGCAATTTGCATCCAGGACATTTAGCAGTCAATTCCTATGAAATATTATTCGCTGAATCCGAAAATGTCGTCAAAAGTTATAAAAGTAGAACAGTTTTTGAAATCAATTTTACATATAATATGGAATTGACTATATCTCAAAAACTGCTTAACGTTTATAGTTTTTGACGGTCTTTTCCGATTCAGGGGACAATTTTACATAAGAATTGGCTGATAAATGTTCGGGATACAAATAGAGTATGATATTGGACATATGTCCAATAATAGAAATTTCAAAATTAAAATTAAAACGCATTAAAGTGACAATGTTTAAACCATGAGGACATTTATACCACACACAGATCTGTACACTTTTTAGAAATATTTTTATTGTGTTTACAGCGTTATCTAATGGTTTGACTTTAAGGTAACTATAGTAAATATATTTATAAAACTCTTGCTTTTACACTATTAATGTTTATTGTCCAATAACTATAAAGTGTACAATAACTGTCTACTTTACCCTATGTATAATTTTAATAATTACCAATATCGAGAGCAAACCTAAATAACATGAAATTTTCCCGTAATAACAAAGACCAAAACCAATAGCATTGCATTACATTGCATTGTTACCGCATCTCTCTTTATCAATATATCTCTATTTATTAGCGCCGATCCCTCTGTTACACGTCAATTCCAATCGTAAAACGTTCGACGCGATTTGTCATTCCATTTTTCCCTAATCCCAATACATTGTCGACAAAAATTAACTTGATTTAGGATTTCAACGATTTTACCCTGATTTCTCGCAAACGCGCTATATGGACATTTTTGGTGGATGGGCCACATAGACAAGTGTTTTTGGTTACAAACTTTTTTATTTTCAGACACCAGTTACTCCTATCATCCTGCGATACACGACGACACGTTCGTTAGAAGAAAACAAAGGAGAAACAGGACCACTTTCACGCTACAACAGGTAATTTTCAACGAAAAATATTTTTAAATTTTTCTGCAAATTTTTCGAAAAAATAAGTTTGGCAACACCGCACGTATTTTGCACAATTTGGCAACGTCGCATCCCATAAAAGTTATGTCAATCCACCAAACCTTAAATTAAATTAAAAGCAGGAGGAAAAATGGCGTATGAAAAAATTTCTGCTAATTTATAAAAAAAAATCGAAAAAAAAAATTAATTTGGCAACCCCTCACTTAATGGCACAATTTGGCAACGTTGCATATCATCGAGGTCGCTTACGTCACTCGGAAGTCTATCTGGCAACCTTGCATAATCTAATTTTTAATATTTAAAATTGGTACTCCTGTTCAATACGTTAATTTTACTTTGACATTTTTATTTAAATGTTAGAATTATAATAAACAATGCGAAATATAAAAAAAATTCTATAATAATAATTTTTTTTAAACAAAACAGCATTTTGATGAATAATTATTTTGTTCTTCATAAATGCACTAATTTATTTTGTTTTACTCAATGTAGCCAATTATAAATTTAGGGTCCTCAGAATTTGCCAAATAAACCCCCAAATTTTTAACAAAAAACAAACTGGATTTTTTATTTTTCTAAATTTTTTATAAAAAAAATAAATTTGGCAACCCCGCACTTATTAAGGTCGTTTATGTCACTCGTAAGTCGATCTGGCAACCTTGCATAATCGTGGGCAAAGTAAAAATTCCTAAAAATTTAATTTTGTTGTTTGGTAAACTTTTTTTTTTAATTTTAGAAAATAAATAAATTTGGCAACCCCGCATTCATTTTGCACAATTTGGCAACGTTGCATCTCACTCGTAAGTCGATCTGACAACCTTGCATAATCTCTTATATTTCTGACATTTTTTGTAAAAAAATAAATTTGGCAACCTTTCACACATTTTGCACAATTTGGCAACGTTGCACCTCATCAAGGTCGCTCATGTCACTCGTAAGTCGATCTGGCAACCGTGCATAATCTCTTAAATTGAATTTAAAGCAGAGGGCAAAATAACGTAAAATAAATATTCCTGATAATTAAATTGTTTGGTAATCTTTTAAAAGGTTTTGTTGTATTTTTTATTTATTATCATAATTTTTTTTTCAAGCTCGAAGAATTGGAAAATGCGTTCGCGCAGACGCATTATCCGGATGTGTTTACAAGGGAAGATTTGGCGATGAAAATTAATCTTACTGAAGCCAGGGTGCAGGTAAGAAAGCATTTTTTGTTTTGTATTTTTGTCTGCTTTACACGATTTTTAATCAAGAGATCAGTGTTGTCAAACGTCTCCTTAAAATTGCACAAGTACATACCTAAAGTGTATTAAATATAAGTAGGTACCTACAACATTAAATGTTAAAACATCGCATTAATTAATTTAACTTATGTAGCTTATTTATATACCTACATACTTTAAAAGTAAATTTACTTAGTTTAGTAAAGAGGGTTTTTCGAATGCTTCGGGATCAAATTCATTTTAATCACACGTTTCCCAAAGTGATTTCATAAAACGGCAAAGTGCCTGCCTTATGACGTTTTATCATATTATAATAAATAATCCTCTCGTAACATTTTCCGTCAGCTTTTAAACTTAAAACAGGGTGGGTCCCTTAAAATGTTTAATAATGTTTGTCAGTCATGCATTTTTAAGCGAAACGTGGGTTAAGGGGTAATTTCGTAATAAGATTAGTTGTTTTTAATGCCTGACTTAAATTTTACTTAAATGAACATTTTTTAATTCAGTTAAACATGAAAAAATGTGATGTTTTATTAGTGATTGTTTATTATTTATTTATTATTAGTATATTGTTTATTATTTGGCATAATATTAATATAAACGTTTACTAAATGATTATTTTAAAACAAATATTTGTTAAATTATCCTTATTTTTATTGCAAATATTATTGAAATGCAAAAGCTGCCATCATATACAAACGAAGCGTGAATTTTATGTATGCTGTGATGTCCGAGTGGTTAAGGAGTTTGACTCGAAATCAAATGGGCTTTGCCCGCACAGGTTCGAATCCTGTTCACAGCGAAATTTTTTTTTATTTTTTTTAATTACTTAAAAAATCTTGTACATCAATTTACAGCATATTTAATTCATTTGACAATTTTTTGACGTATATCAGAGGGTTTTCGTTGTTTTGTTTCGCGTTTTAAGTAAAACAAAAGAAACGTGCGCCCAATTAGGTGAAACAATTCGATTTTAATTTGAGGGTTCTTTTGTTTTTCCACCCCTTGCCACTTGATTAATCAGAGGGGCGGATTTAACGAGATTTTAAGGTTATGAGATCCTAAATGTCATTCCACGCGATCCTCGATTGTTTCTGACGTCATGTGTTACCTACTAGATACGGTTTCTTGTAAATTGAAGTAAAATGCTGGAAACGTTTGTAATTTGACACTGAACATGTCCAGGGCCCCCTTTTCTTTCTCTTCTACCCCCCCTCGTGGGACCGTAAGGACTGTTTTACAATATTTACACGCGCGGGAACGGGCTGCATTTCGTTCTCGCAGGAATATGTGCGTTTTGCAGGAAAAATTAAATTTATTTTTGCGGTTAAAGTTTCCTTTTGATTCTCTGTCACTTTTTATTAGATTTTAGACGCGTTACTTGTCCATTTTTTTTTATTATTGACTCGAATTGAGTAGGATGTCCGTTGGGTAAAAAATTTTTAGTTATTTATTTAGTTTTTGTTAATAGTATATATTTTATATATAAGTCAACTTTAAAGTATTTTTTACGGTTAACCAAAATGGTTTTATAACGGTATAGATACGAAAAAATTACCATATTTGGGGAATGGTTTATTTCGTTATTTTACCTACATATTAACCTTTTTGATCTACTAAGAAAATAACGTAATAAAAACAATATAAATACCACAAATTTACGTAAAAATAACGCTATAATTACTAACTGTTTTCTCTCTCTTTCTAAAACATTGACATTCGTAATTTCTTTGTTCTTTTAATTTATATTTTACAAAATGGTACTTACAAAGTAATAAAGCCACCCTAGAGTAAAATTAAAAAATATAACTTAATTTGTCAAAACTAATAATATTTTGCATTAAAACTCAAACGCACACTAATTTATTGATAAAAATAGGCACGATACATCTTAAAAATTATATGCCCTCTAATATAAATATTTTACGGTTTTCAGAAAAATTATTGCTTGGGTAAAAATTCAACAAAACTTAAAACCTACAAAATTTATAAAATCTTTTAAAAATCATTTAGTTTTAATCATTTTTTAATAACTAAAACTTTCCTTATTATATTTTAGAAACATATTTATGAAAAAATATTATATATATGTTTAGATAAGTAATGGATGCCATCTTAAAAAATGGCGACCTGAAAAAAAAAATTCCCTTAAAGTTTTATTTTTCACTTTATTTTCAGTATTTATTACCACTAATATCCCTAAAAAATACCAGGCGAATAGTAATTATTTACGGTTATAAAGTGGTCTTAATATCGTAAAATTATGACTTATGAGTAACATTTACCATTAAGTAAAAATTCTGAAGTTAAAATTACCGTCAAATTTTTCTTTAGGTGAAATACACTTATAAGTAATTTTCTTTCGTAAAAATTAAAGTGTTGAAACTTAAGGGTTATTAAAATAGGTAAAATAACTTTAAAAAAAGTTTTACTTCAAAGTAAATTTTTATGGTTAATTTATTACTTACTTGTTACTTTATTTTAACTATTGTATGACATTTGACAACTGTCAACTAACTTCAGCCCGTGACTAAAAACTTGTTGCTAACTTCAGCCCGTGACTAAAGCGCCCTAAAGGCACAGCTTGTCACTTAGTGTCATGGAAAATGTTTTTTTACCATTTCTTTAGTTTTTGTTAACAAAATCAACTATATTTTTTATAATTTTCACAATTTTAACCTCAACCATAATTTTTATTAATTAATATTTAGAGCCTTGGGCTACGACTAGCCAAGCAATTCAGGGTATACCGCAATTATGCACCGGGTTTGTTTAGTATTATGTTAACAGATGTTGGGTCTTTTGTTAGTGCCACAATGTAACAAGTAGCAAATTGTTAGGGGACCAAAAATACGTATCAACCTGTCCTAAAAACTAAACATAACCCACCCTTTTGCAGTATGAACCCTTAATCCCTTTTTGGCTTATAGACTATGGCAAAGTAATAAATTTCAATGAAGTTATTATGAATGGGGTATATTTACAAATATGTTACAATATAATCGGTTTTTTTGTAGTGGTAGAACTGCGGTTGGGGGTCTATCATTAAGCAAATAGATTATTATGTTTATACAGTTTATTAAGTGTACACATATTATAAGAGATGTAAAGCAATATTTTAAATATTTACAGTGAATAGGCAAAAAGTCTTTAACACCCTGTAATTTACCTGACTGTGTGTTCAAAAAATATCGGGAATTTTCGTTTTTTGAAACAAATATTTATTTATTCGTCTACATTAATGTTGTCGCCAAATAGTCCCCATTGGATATTATGCTCATGTGCCAGCTCTTCTTCCAATACTCGAAACATTTCTAAAACTCGATCTTTGGGATAGCCTTTAGTTCTTTCAGCGATGCGCTTTTAATGTCATCTATGCTTGCAAAACGACGGCCCTTTAAGGTTCTCTTTATTTTTGGGAATAGGAAAAAGTCAGACAGAGGCATGTCTGGCGAATATGGAGACTGGGGCATCATTACAGTATTGTTTTTAGCCAAAAATGTTGTTCAAAATTTAACAATTTTAGAACAAATTTTGCTGCCGCGTTTCATACCCAAAACATTCGAAAAAAATGTATGGGATGAGCCAATCGATATACCAACATCATCATCGACTTCTCTGATGGTTTATAACCACTTTTTTCATGTTTTTAACGGTTGTTAATGCGCTTGTGCGTTCGGGGCGTTCGTCATCTTCAACGTCTTCACGGCCATCTTGGAAACTCTTATACCACTTGTAAACTCTTGTTTCACTTATAGCAGACTCACTATAGCCCTTTGTTAACATTTCACAGAATTTATTTCATTTTTTAAGCAAAATTGGATACAAATTCTTTGATCCATTTCTTTTAACGAACGAAAAATCGCCGAGCTCATAAAACACGTCTAACCTTAGCGGCTGCCACAGACAAAGTAAACAATGAAAACAGCTAAAGTTTTTATCATACTTCGGGGCATGTATACCAACATAATAAAGAAAATTTTATGACAACCGGACCCTCCGAACCCGCGAAATTTAACAATTCCCGTTATTTTCTGAACACACCTCGTATAACCTCAAATAATCATATCTTTCTACATAAACACAAAATTCACTTCTTAGTTATGATTTGGTCGATACAAATACAGTTAGGGGCGGTTCCCACCCACACACACACACACACAGACTTGCAGGGGTTTGCACCCCCGCCAGGGGCGGCGTAACCTGATACCGCCCCCATATAAATTTTTCCTCATACGTACTGAATAAATACATTCATAACGTAGAAACGCTAAATAAAATTTGTCTGAATTTTTACGCAGGCAGATGTCTCGATTATCTACAAGAGGGTCTTGCAATTTGTTAAAACAATGGAAAATCTGTCCACTTCGGTACCTGAAATTCGTTTTTTATTGTTTGGTCCCAAGTACTTTTAAGTGGTTTTTGTTTTAAGTAACAAAGATCCCTTTAACAGCTGTTTATATTTTAGATACTTTTTATGTACCTACCTATGGCGTTTCACTTAAATATTACAAGAAATTAATGACCTTTAGGTAATTTATTTTTTCTACTCCCACCTTTAAAACGACCATTATCGTACACGTTTCCATGATACTAAGTGACCTTTTAAATACACATTGACAAGTTGTGGCTTTACGGCGTTTTAGTCACGGGCTGAAGTTGGCAACAGGTTTTTAGTCACGGGCTGAAGTTAGTTTTAATATAGTTGACAGTTGTCCAATGTCAAACAATCGTTAAAATAAAGTGCCTTTCTTGTAAAATAACACTAAATGTGAAAATTATTTTATTATCTCAATACAAAAGTATTAAATAGTTTCTCAACGCCAATATTTGAAGAGTTTATATGAAAATTGTACTGACCTTTTATTTTCGCCGGCAGTAAACTATAACTTAAATTCGGGCACGGACTCCACTGTAAAGTGCTCATAAAACATTTTCTTTACTTTCACTGTAAAAAACTGTCCATTTTCAAG